ACACACACACACACACACACACACACACAGACGCCTCGGACCCACCAGGGAAAGCACCAAGCGAAGGGCAGGAAGAGGCAGAGCCGGTAAAACCTCCCCCAGACAGAGTGGGAGCCTTTCCAGCCGTTAAACTGGGGTGTCCATGGGCGGGAAGGAGCCCTCCCGCCGAGACAACCAGCCCTTTCCTTAACTCACAAGGGCAGAACTTCCAACGGGGAGTCTCGGCTTTCAGCCAGGGCTCCTGCTGCCTCCCCGTAAGCCGGAGAGTCCCACGGCTTYGCTCCCGGCCCTGGCTCCGCACAGCCCCGGCCTTCCCGGTCCCACGATTCACCTCCCAGCTCATCGCTGACACTCGGTGTTTTACAAGACTACAGTGCACCACATTTAAYGGGCTGCTCTTGGGAACATCTTGAATATGAAGGACGCTTCTGCATTGGTTTGCTTGTCATTGCTTTGATCAGTTTCTTGTCAAAAAAATGAGKTTTTTTTTTTCATTCAACTCATTTGTCATACATCCTTCCTAAAACGCCATTTTAATCCTTACACCTTTTTTTTGCTTGCTTTCTGATGTGGAAAGATCCTTTTTTCAGCTCTTAAGGAAGAAAAATTTTATAAAATAAATAGAAAGCTATTTGACACGACAGCTTATAGGAGCATGAATAAAAGAAAGGGCACGTGGCTCCCTCCCTTCCAGCCTTCTCCACATGGAAGTGTTATTTCCAATCTCACACGTAGCGCCTCCCTTCATGAGTGGAAACAGGCAGAAAGGCCAGGGAGGCGCTGGAGCAAGGCTGCCCAGGGAACTGTTCTCCTTGTTGTCCCATGCAAAGGGCTCACATTTGATGCATTTACGGCAATATTCAATAGTGGCTGAATGTTCAAGTCAAATAAAACCCACACACCCCTTTAAAAAAAAAAAAAAAAAAAAACTCTTACATTAGCTGTTGCCTCTGAATTCATTTACTTTGAAGTGTTCAAATTCAAACTAGTGTTTGTATTTACATTTGATGTCTCCTATTGATGATGACTTATGCTAAAAAATAAGCAAATCAATCATTACAGCTGCACGTGGTCTGCCCAACCCCATTGCTTCAGTAGCAAGCAGCCCTGTGTAGGGTGGTTGGTACAATGTAATTGACTTTTATAAGAGCATTGACACCATCTCCCATAGCATAGTGCAGCATATTACACCTGGATGAAGACACCATTGCATCCGCTGAAAACTGGTTGGGCTTTCTGGGTGCACCAGTAATAACCAGTGGTTCCATGTCCAGTGGGCAGTGAGTAGGAAGCAGAGCTCCCTACACTCATTACTAGGGCTCGTGTAGAACCAAGAGCTCATCACTGACACARGTCTTGGACCTTCACAGTTAGACAACTTTAACTAGGATGGGTAATTTGCGCSTAAGAAAATGGAGCTTAAATCCAAAGAGCCTTTGAGAAACGTGAGGAGTCAGCTAACAGAAACCGCCAAGTTCCCAAGTGCAAAATTCTGCGTTTATTGGCAGCCCTCGGCTCTCCCCTTCGCACTGCCCTCGCACCGCGGCGCAGCTGGAAGGACCTGGGCTAACGCAGCTGGAAGGACCTGGGCTAACGGTGGGTGCCACGTGGAGCAGGAGCCGCTGCCCGCGCCCGGAGTGAGAGGCAACGCGCGGACCGGAGCTACCACCCGCTTAACGGCGCTGTTCCCGATTAACGGCGCTGTTCCCCTTGGCCTTGTTTTCCCTTCATGGCCCAATCCATCGTAACAACCGTTATCACAAAAACTGTTGCTGTTTTGTTTGGACATTTCCCTTTGCGGAATCCAAGAGCCACAGTCACGTCCTGCAGCCCGGGGCTGAGGGACTGACAGGACTTGCAAGGCAAGAAGTTGGTGTTTACAAGTTGTTGGGTCCTTTGTAATTAGGGATGCAGCACACTTGCTGTCAGCTACATAGGTGGAGTATAACGCGAGTCAACACCAATGCCTCTGATCTCCTGAGTGGAGAGCACTGCTATCCATCAGATTGTTACTGAGGCAGGGTGGGGGCTTAGCGCCCTGACACGTGAAAAGACTGTAACTCTGGTTAGAGGAACTGCACAAGTTCCTCCCAACGAAAGCAGAAATGAGAGAGCGAATCCCTGTGCTCAGAGCACTGCTTTGGTCTTGCGCTGACCAAAATAATCCAACAGAAAACGCACTTGCACTTCCCAAAATATTCTCTGCAAGCTACTTTTGGGGTGTACACAAACTGCCCGTCTCTTTAGAAGGGTTCAGTTTGCTGAAGTTCTAGSAAATAGCTCAAAATGGGAGAGAATTTTATAAGATAGGAACTTGTTTTACTCATATGTATTTTAGAAGGATTAGTAAAAGGAAAAAAAAAACAAATGCTTAGCAACATTCTTAACCACAGGAAGCCAAATTCAGTCCACATACCAAAGTTTTTAAGAGCAACTAAGCTKCTCTTTCTGGCCTTATGAGAGAAAAAAAAAGCAATGAAGTAATTGCTATCATCATTAAAACACACCACAAATAGGACGTAACTCAACAAAACAATTAAAAGCTTTTATTGTGATRCCTCAAGTAGATACAATATCGTGAAACAACAAATGATGTACAGTATTGCTAGGACAAAACAGCAACACAGCCATGTCACCTGTAAAAGAAAGCGTTGTAAAGAGTTTAAGAAACAATGAGGCACAACTCAATTGCTATTTATGACTCATGCTTAGGCCTTAAACCACTTGTAACAGTCCTTTTAAAGAAGCCTCTGAAGCATCTGTTCCTTTTGCAGTAAGTGTTTATGCTGCTGGTTGGCTTTCACGAGCGCTAAATGGAGTACAAGGAAGGGTCCAGGAAGTTTAACAAGTTTCTTCCAGCCCTCGGCATTCGCGAGGACTGGAGACCTTACAGACTGGGCCGGTGACTCCCTGGGGGTCCCCGTCTCGGGAGAACTGCTGCTGCAGCCTGAGYGCAGAGCGGGGCGCGCAGCAAAGCCTTGGCGAGCACCGCTGGGCACAGCAGGACTCCACCGAACGCGCTGCGTGGCACTCACCAGCTCGACATCCCAACAAGGAATACAGGTGGCCTTTGGCTACGGACACCCTGGTGACCGCCAGCACTTCTGAGACCACGTTTTAATTCAAGATAATCAATTATTTCCCTCTCCCAGAGACGGCCAACGCTGCGGGCATGCCAGATGCCACGCGGGTTGCCAGTTAAACTAGRCCTTGTTACTGGGATCGAGACTGAGCTATAATAAATTTAATGAACACAGCTCACCCTTGCATACCTTGCAATGGATGAGAAAAATTCACATGCTGACCCTTTCTATGGGCAGGTAAAGCTGCCGAGGCCAGGCTGGTGTGCGAGCAACCCCTGCCCAGTTCTGCAGCTGCCCCCCAGTAAGGTCTGCAACGTGATGGGATTTTTATCGATGGCAGCACTGCCTTTGGTTACTTAAAGAGGTGTTTAGAGGGATGAGCCAAAGAACTAGGTCTAGTGTTTGGAGGCACACACTATCCYGGGACACCTACCTAGGTTACAGCCACTGTTCTGCACTTGGACAGAGAATATGTCAGATTACAGAAGTCACATCGAGTTATGTTTCATTACTTGAGAACAGGCGCGGCTTTAGAGGTTCAGAGGAAAAAAAAACCCTTTCAATACATGTACATTTTTGCTAGCAAATTCCTATGCATCCCAATGAACATTTCTTCTAAGCCAGCTCATAGTCAGTTCATTTGGTCCAAGAAAGAGCCAGCAAGAAACGAAGGTTCACAAAAGCTTTTTGTTACAGTTTGTAAAAAACAAAATACAAAATAAATGTTAAGACCAACAATAAAAATAACCAGTACAAGTAACAAAAGTGCTCAAGTTGAAGGGGAAGTAAACTTGCCCAGAGCAAAACACATACAAACTTTAAATATAATCTTTAATATATTACAAAAAATTGGTTAGAGGGAAAATGCTTTAGTAAAATTTTTTTTTCAAGTAAGATTATTTTTCTTTCAAACGCCTGCTGGAGCAGTCAGTGACCAGACTGACCCCTTCACATCCGCCAGCAGCCATCGCKATCTGGATTCTACTTTCACCAAAACCCAGAAAAAGAGCTCTCTGAATCTTCRCAAGGGGAGAAAATAATCGTGGATGCTGCCAAGCACTAGAGGAAAAGATTCCTGCACTCGCTCAGCAGGATGAGCCTAAAGGGTTGTTACTTGGGAGCACGTAAGAGCTGTTCTGTATTAGTTCTACTCCTTACTCCTCCTAAACTTGCACTCTTAAAAGACCAAGGWGAATATTGCTTTGTTTGGTTCTCTTAAAAGCCATAAATATCACACAGAGATGATTAACTCCTCATGCCATAGTCTGAAGTTCTATGTGCTAAGCACTTGATGAAGTCCCAAGCTTTGGCATCAAAGTTAATTAAGGTTTTGGTGAAAATGTCCAGTATGAAATACAAGTAATGCACTGAAAAAAGAGGTTGAATTTCTCAATAAGAATCAGAGTGTATTACAGGCAGCATTAACTTACTAACAGGATAGCCAAACCCACAATTCTATAGAGAAAAATCTTTAATATTTTACATATTCTAATTAATTTCAACTSTCTATTGCAAAGCACCTAGTACTTTTGCCTTCAGTCCAGTGCTTCAGCAAGTCAGGAAACAGGAAAAGCCCTGGGATGCACAAGCTTCATACAAGCCTGTTGAAGTATTAAGATCCCAACTGGCCTTGGAAGCCAAGAGCAGCTTTCAGCCGGCAGTCCTGTTAGTGCTCTCCGTGTCGGCAGCACGAGTTACTACCTGGGAAGATAAAATCCCGAGGGCTCCAGGTTGGGAAAGCCCGGGACACAGGCAGCGCCAAGCGCGTCCCGCAGCAAAGCCACGGTGCAGAAGGAGACTTTGAAGCCTGATCTGCCCTGCAAGCCATGCAAGCCACAGAATCTGTATTGAACACAACTGTAGCACCCCAACTCCCTGGACTGAAAGCCAACAGTTTCAGCTACTTCTCTAATTTGTAGATTTTTATTTCGTAGACATAGATCCTGGCAACGTCCTGAACGCAGCTGAGCCAGCCCGTGTTGCAGACGAGTGCTCACACTGGCACAGCTCCCTCCTGCCTCCACAGGACACTGGAAAGCTGGTCTCCAACATCTGTATATTGCCCCTACCCGTTGGCATCATTTTTAATGTATGACAATTTCTAAAGTGCAGAAGAGTTCAGAAAGCCTATCAGAGATTCCCATAAGCAAAACAGCAGCAGCAGCAGCACCTGTGACTAAGCTCCCTAGGCGCTGTATTAGAAGCGGTATTGAAAGAAAATGATTTTGCATTGCAAGGCTTCCATAGGATTCAGTTATAGTACTTCTGTAGTGTTAAAGGTTTTCCACAAGCACGTTGTCCTCAAGCATTAAAAGGATTAAAATACAAAAGGTCTTCAGAGACTGTTTAATTTGAAAATAACGTTAGCAAATTTACGCAGCGCATTTCTTTCCAAGCTGCTGAGACTGTGCGTGCACTGCTACCAGCGGTTAATACTGTGCATGCACTTCCCAGAAGTTTCYCTCTTTAGTCATTCCAGTTAAGAAACAATGGGAGAACAAAAGGGGAGTTTCATATAAATCTTATATAAAAATTTCTTGGGGGTGATTTAGCCAGCAAACCAAGAAACTCCTTCTTCCCCCATGTTTTAAAAACTACCTTGCTTTCTATTTTATGAAAAAAGGATCAAACCTCTCTCCTCTTTTATTATCCTCCCCGCTTTTTATTTTCCTACAGATACTACATTAATTTTCATCTCATAGGCTCTGGCCATTTCTCACAAAAATAAACATTTTTGTTCAAATATAGCAAAAGCAGAATACTTCAACAAGTTTTTTTTGATATCAACCTCTTTGTCCAGTGCATTAGGGCTATACAGCTACATGGAACCAGCCATAAAACTTTACCAATGCACAAGTCCCTGTTACTGGCAAAGGTACAGTACCAAAACTTCTTTATTTAAATACACCGACTAGTTTTTTTTCTCCAAAATAGAAGATGCATATAATTTYGTGCCATTTGATCTCGCAAGCTATATTTTTATAGGTTTCTCCCATATCCAGCTAACTCCATAGGTAATGTTTTGGTCTTAACTGAATGTATTCTACAGCATTATTGATTTAAAATCCACCTAAGATATTTCACTAAGATACCAAGCCATCAACACATCCCTTCCTAACGAAAYTTCTGCTAATTTCAGTCAGTGCAATTGAAATGTTTTTAAAGTGAGCACTGTACCTTTAACCAACTCACCTACAAGATGTACACAGGTTGTGGTACACAAATTTTTTAAAAAAGAAATGAATAATTACAATACTGCATCCCTTTCACTGCCAAATACATCAGAAATTGCTACATATAAAAAAAGCACCCCATCCTATACATTCTTTAGGACTGCTCAGATACAGAACTTCTACAGGATTGGAGTGTAGGTGTTTAGGCAAGAAGCATGCACAGCAGAAGGTAGCATTAAAGGCATAGGTCAGAGATAGATGCTAACCAGTAAAATCTGTTTGCAATTAGTGAACTGTTTCTCTAAGTTTGAGAGAGTTTAGAAAAAGGTCATCCAAAATGTTCCAAAACAACCGTTCACACAATAATACACATACAAAAAAGAGGGAACTTACACAAGGAGAGAAGGCAAACATGGCCTGAAATAGCCACTTACACTACACTACTCATTTGTGAGGTTTCAGAGTTCAGTGATATTCTCAGGGCCACTTTAGCCAAGATCTTCCTTTACTTTGCGTTAGTCTTTATATAAAGCATGTTCCACAGAGTATTGTCCAAACTGAAGGGGAAACGGTGCGATTCACTCCCAGCCATTGTCTTTTATCATGTGGGCAAGTTCAATGATAAATTTTCCTTCTTTGTATTTCTGGCTGCTCTCAAAAGCATGTTCCTGGAAAGAAGAAAAAAAAATAAAAGTCAAGATACTGAAAATAAGTTGGGGATATTAAKCATTTTAAACATCAAACATGCATTAAAAACTAGATATACTGGCATCTACATCTTTGGAGCTGCTAGCACTACAGACAAACTACAATATCAAATACAAAAATGACATATGCATGACTATATAGTTCACCTAAATATTTTTATAACTACCCCAGGAAGTCTTTAGAGTGCCCAAAAACACACTTAGGATACAGCAAGATGCACATTTCTCTGGAAAACAATAATTAACTTGGTACTTTTCTTCTCATTCRAAGCCTATGCATCTGATTGTTTACACACTACGAAATACAGATTTGCTGAGACAAATCTTCCCTAGGGAAATTGTGACCTTGGCTGTATTTTTCACCCTTCCTTTGCATTTATTTCAACAGATCTTAAAGTCGCATCTTAAAAGAGTACATCTTAAAGTCACGATGGGATGCCAGTTACTAGCAAACACTACCAAAACACTGAATGTGTTTATCCCTTCACTTCACTGTTACTACAAGCCTAGACCCTCACAACGTAGCCAGAGTCAAACCACTAATCCAATCTCCGTGGTATAAGGGCTGACGAGTCACTGTATGATGCTCAACTCTTAAAACTACTCCGCTTCTTCCATTCTGCAACTTGACAAAGAACATCTCACCTCCTGCCCCTAGGTGAATGAGCAACTTCCTCCTSGAGTTGCCTTACAACATCCTTCAGAGATCTCTGTTTAAACAAATACAGCTTCTCTGACATCTTGATAGAAAAATCCATGGTCATCTTGTACCAAGCCATATACCATGAGAAATGGGCCAGTAAGTCCCAAAGGGCGAGTTAAGAATAGCTCTTTCCTAGCTGTTGGCAGCCTGTTGTACATGAGGTCACAACAGTGTCAAAACAACAAGTGCTCTCAGGGCACTAAGCAGACAGGACTTGGTTTTTTTCATGCTGTCTCTTATGCGGTATTTAATTCAGGGTTTTGCTAGAGACAGACTAGAAAACSTCCCTCTGTACTGAAAATAAAATACCTGATGTTACTTATACTCTCTTAGAAGTAAATAAAAGTAAAACCCACTTGTAACTTCAATCCTTCACTTTCTTCAAAATGTTTCACCATTGCATTAATAAAGGTTTTTGCTATTAAAGCAGCAAACATGCCACAATAACATTTCTTGCTTATACTGAATCAGAGGTTGGGGAAAGATAGAGAGGAAGAAGAGGTTTGAGGAGGAAGTTAGGTTAAGTTTCTGATGACCAGAATCAGACCTACTGTAGAGCACATCTTGCTTTATCTTTCCATGCTCTACCATTGTTTTTTAATCAAAGGATGGGAAATAGAGAGTGTTCAGAGTTTCCTTACCGGAAAAAAATAAGGAAAACGAGGGAAACCTTCTTGGAATCTCTCCTCTGTACTCAGAGGGAATGTGTTGGGTCTCCTTCCTCAGAGACCCTAAACTGCACCAAACCAAAGACAACCTTGTGCACCAAATGAGGAATCCAGCACTTCAAAGCATCAAACTTGCAACACAGTGGTATAGAAAATATACCTCCTTTGCAACCACACTGCCTTCTCAAACCAAACTCAATTTATCATAATTTGTATTTTTGTATATGAACCAACTTGCAGAAACAAGAAAATCAAAACCCATCCAGGCAGGTTTTTTTCATCCAGTTCAGCGTAGGTGGGTGGCCACATTCCAAAAAGCTACTGCTGAAAAAGCAATAGATATCTGCAATAAAACATACAGCTCGCGCTAGCTTCACTATCTGCACAACATGTCAGCAGATTTAATGGAACCAAACTAGCCTACTAAATGTCTGGTTTAAGACACAAAGCACTAGACCTAACATCACCCAATGGGTACCAGTAACACCTAACTTAGGTAACTATGATTCAAAGCACTTATCAAAAAGTTGGGTCTATTGCTTACATATTTCCATCCAAGAGTGGTTTTACAGTTTTCACAATAGATATCTGCTACAGCATGTAAACCTGTCAGGAGGACTCTCTCCTCTGCTGGACCACAGCCCACATTTACCCTGCAAAAAAAGGAGAAGCAATTCTACATTAACCACAGGAGAATGCTTTCTTTTTAACCTCTCACCCACCTCTCCTCCAGAAGGCAAAAACTAGCTAAAAATATCATAAGCATACATAAATAGATATATAAAAATTACATATCTGACTTCTTCAATGCTTTAAAAATAGCTTCTATTTTTGCACTGACCTGAGGAACAGGAAGAAAAAGTTTGATTGCCAATTTCATTTTTCAATAAATGAGGGAGCAGTGCTCTGGAGTGAGGCTTACTCACTCCCATCAGGTGGGACATGTTAAGTGTTCTAACTTCCAGAGAGAACACTAAGCAATAATAATAACAAAAAGCTTAATTTAGAACCGACTCATATAGAGCAGCAAGGAAATAGCCTCATAAGTATTTCTTTGCTACAGATTAGCAGATACTGCCATGATGAACAAATAGTAAACATAAAAAACAAACCATTCCATGAAATAGTGTCACAATATTTTTTTCTAAGAGCCTACACATGAAAGATCAGACAAGATTAAACGAGTTTGTTGATAGGATTATAACAACAATACTTGGCCACTTTTGATGTTGTGCTACCAGATTCTTAGCATTACAACTGTACCAGAAGTCTCAAGTGTCCACTGAGTTATAAAAGGAATATATATTCTTTTATATATAAAGTATATATTAGATTAATTTCAAGGATGTGTTTACAATAAAGCCTTTTACAGTTCCATTATCTCGCTCTATAATAGACTTATAAGTCACTTAACTGCATTTCTTTTTCCAAACACTGTCATACAATAAATTGATTAAAAATAAAGACAAAAGTGCAATTCAATATATCAGAAACTTAAAACTCATCCTTTGGCTAAATGTAAAATACAATATATCCTTTTGCTAAATGTCCATTTGCTAAATAGATTTGGCAAATTCAAAGAGACTTGTACAGCACGTGCCTAAACCTGCAAATATTAGGCTTGATTAGATCAGGGATCTTTTGCCTCTAGTAGGTTTGCAACAGTCAAGGTCATTTAAGAAGCACTAATTATAATGTAATGTTAACCTGTAAAATGATCCAAATATTTCACTGAAAAAAAGTCTCCTTTAGACTACAGCAAAGTTGTCCAAATCAAACTCACAGTCACGCAATGTACTTTGAATTCTATAATATATTCTAATGGCAACTCCTGATGAAAACTTGGCATCATACACATGGAATTTTACAGTAACACCCTCCCCAAATTTTCAGCCATTATCAGAATTGCTTAAGAAATCAGACACGTTCTGCAAGTTACTCAAAATCAACTCAGTTGCTCTTTAATAACTACTGATGGTGAGTAAAGACAGTTTAAAAGAATAAGGAAAGTGCAGCTACTAATTCCCTACTGTTTTCCAAGTATGAAGCATACGACATATTCCACATATGACCAAAAAGTCGTACTCTGCAGGCAGTACACGTAACTGCAATATATAAATACATATGTGCATATGTATACAGATACACACAATTAAAGAGGTACTTACACAGAATTAAAGAGGTAGGCTCTTCCCTGGCTTCCCTGAAAGGACTGCATGAAAAAGAAGAGAGCACTTGTTAAATTCCAGAAGGGTATGTTACTATGCATAGAAATTTGACACAAATATAACTAATTTCAGTTGAGCTACTGGAAGTTTGAAGTTTATATGTATTATTTATAGCAGGGCCTCACTGGTATCAGTTTKCAGGCTGATATTTTAGCAACTGTTAAGTTGTTAAATATTCTTGCTCAAAATAACTGACATCCAAAATGCAAACAAAACATTCTTTTTCTCAACCCAAGATACCATCTTTCATTTTCCTAGGACATCTTTCATGCTAATTGAAACAATCTATTCTTAAAATCAGCTCAAAAGAGTTGCTTCCAGCTTCTTTTCCCTCCCCCAGTACCCCATATTTTTGATTTCCCCATTTCACTGCATTATTTGAGATAAGAGCAGCAACATTCTGGACTGTGCATAAAATCCTAACTCTCTATTTAGGGAACCTTTCTGATCAATTTGAGCTCAGCTTGACTTTAATAAAGTGACYGTTACCATAAAGTGCCTAAGACAGCCATATATTTTAAAACCTCTCACATTCTTGCTAGATTATGGACAAAGGAAGATAGCTGGATTTTGTTGGCTGCATCTAAATTAACGTTTCAGCCCAGAGCAAGTGCACATTTTTGAAGAAAAAGCCCTGATCAACCCCACTTGCTGCAGGYTGCTTTGGTTTGCAGAGCAGCTTCAGTGCAAAATCTTTGTTCCTTCTGCACTGAACTAAACTAGGAAGTTTTCTACTGCACACACTAAAAGCTCCACATGTCAATGAAGTCACAGGACCCTCCACGTGACTTGTCCTTCAGACAGCCTTGAGCCACAAGCATGTTGGCAGCACTTGTGGGCACACCAGACCCAGGCTTAGGGACACGCTTTGGACTCCACTGCTTTGATCTATTGATTTGTTCCTTGTGTATTGAGTTACCTGCCAGTTTTGACAGGGCCATTATTTGTCATTCAAACCAGGTCACATTTAAAGTGGACATTTCCTGTAGCTCTCTGCAGTACTGCACCTACAAAGACCTCTAGGCTTTTTCCTAGCTTCAAGAACATTCATCATTTTCTCCATGCTGAAAACAAACTGCAGTTGTTCCAAGAAKCCCTGAAGTTCTAGTATTGAAGATCAAGGACCAACTTATCAACATGGAATGTTCTGGGGAAAAAARAACCTCCCCTTGAATATTTCTGAATGGTTTTGGTAACATCAGGAGTTGAACCACAGGGAGATGTTCCCTCCTGCAACAGACTGTTTTTCTGAATAGTTATGTTTGGAGTTATGTAATATAAAGTCACCTGGCACCTAAACAGATGTTTTGCCAGACTAGCAACGTAAGATCTATATAACAGTCAGATCTACTTAATTAGAATACGGTTCAAAAATAATAAAAAAGTTGTCAAAGGGAAACACGACTATTAATTAACATTTGTTATTCTGCACTACTGAATTATATACTGCACAGAAGGATGTTAAAAGACAAACCATGGCAAGAAACTGCTGTAAGCACCAGTGGCAGAGTAGTTGCATCCAACCTTTAGCTACTCAAAATCTAACCATAAGATGAGAAGCTCTGCTTAATAACTTACAGTGTTACTATTTTCATTCCATCAACCATTTCAAATAATTATTAAACATTTCCTAAGAGTATTTCCCCATCAACAGCAAAGACAAAAGGGACCTTCTCTACCATCCAGCACTGCAAGTCTTATTTTCACAAAGCAAGGAAGAAGATAAGCTATGCAGCACAGTGAAAGCTAAGACCTGGGCTACTACTGACCCTGAAAGGAAAGATCCAGTGGAGCACTGTCTTCACAGCTATGCCAAGATGTACTTTATCACATAAATAATATCATATTCACATTACATTCATAATATAATCACATCATAAAAATTGCTCCAATGCAAGTTTTTCTCAAAGAYGAAAGAATACTCAATATTCCCTATGCAGTCTCGCAATATTTTGACCATAAGCATCAGTACTTCCCTCTCTATTGGAAATAGATCCTCTGATGATTCCTAGCACTGCGTTTTCCTTTTCCGTGCCTTTTTCCTGTTTTTTTCCCAGAGATATTGCATCCATTACTTTCCAACTCTGTATGATATGTGGGACAGAATACTGATTAACAGGTAGGGTTCTATCAACTAACAGATATAAAAAGATTTACTGCACTCTYGTTTCTCACACTGTGTTGTGTGATTTAGTTCTGCCGATATGAACCTTAAGAGGCTGGCAGGTTAAACTCCTCGTGTGTCAGCTCCTCAAAGGCTATTTTAAATTGCAGTGACAAGAACTAAGACACAACTGTTCAAACGAGTCTCAAGACACACTGCATTTCCATACAGTATTCCCTATGCAAATACAACATTTTAATGGGTAAAACTTTTTGACGCTCCCAAGGCTGTAAGCGCTATACATCAGCAATTATAATTAAAACATAGCATACTATATATCTATTGATGTAGTTGTGAATCCTCAGTATGCATTTAACCCAGTAAAAGCCTAAGAAATTAGAGGGAATGGTGATCAAAGGCTAGAAGTCGACTCACAGCAACCAAGGTTTTCACTTAGAAGTTCTGTAATTCACTAGTTAAACCAATATTCTCMGTGAGAACATAAATATCCTTTAAGAGTGTTTTTGATATTCTCGATTAATAACATGGAATAGGTTTATGAGTATTTTTTCCAGAGAAAATCCACATCATTGACCAACTACACTGTACTATAGGGAGATCAACAAAGATCCATAAGACCTTAAGGTATCCGTAAGTTTATCAATATATATTACAGTTGTGTATATACATATATTACAGTAAAGGAACTTCAAATGTTTTACTCAAACACTAGCCTATACTTGCAAAATTCAGTATGAACTATACTTCCAAATTCGATGATTATTTCCTGTAATACCAGGATTAGCTTTTTTAACCAAGGAGAAAATGAGATGTCCTTTAAGCAGAATATATTTCCTGCCTGAATAGACAGCTAAGCACATGTGTGGGAGATGGAAAATAYTGAAGAGCTAATAATGTAATTAATTATTCCCCACAAATGGGAAGCATTAGAGATAGGAGAGGTGACTGCAGAACATGCTCCATGGAAAAAGCCCACAGAAACTACCAGCTTAGCATGTACTAAGAGGATGAGAGGCATTATTACAAGTCCAAATAGCATTTAGAGACCAAACCTAAGCACAACTTGCAGGCTATTCATTAACAATGAAAAATAACTTTAGAGAACAACAATGAAAGAAGTCTATGTTTGCTTTCATTTTCAAGTTTCCTTTACAAATTAGGAAAAATCACTTTGAATTAAYGTTGTGAACAAACATGCAATGCAAAGAAATATGATTCTGTAATACTTCCAGACAGCAGTATTCCTAGGGGCAGTATCTTAAAAGTTAAATCAGAAACACATACAAATGCTCTGATGTCTGAAATGATCTTCTGAATAAAACACATTAGAGACAGTGAACATCTCTTAGTTCTCGTAAGATTAGCAAAGTAAGTTTTTAAACATTGGCTGCTGCTTATGTTGAATTTATCAGGGGAAAAAAAAAGATTTATCCCATCTGTTGTTTTTGCTCTCAAGATCTTTTGTAAGCCATTAGATCCAACTCCTTTAATACAGCAAGATCCAGCTCCTTTACAAAGCAAAGAACTAGAGAAAGTGTTGTTCAGCTGCTTATTAACAAGTCCTAGATCATTCCAAGACAAATCTATACTGGAAAAAAAAACACTAAATCAGAACACTGATTTTTATGAAGAGTGATAACATTCCATAAGTAGAAAACAACCTTAAAAAGATGAATCCAGAAACTACATGGCTTTGGGATAGCAGGTTTGGGAAATATTTCCAGAAGTAAAAACTTTGTCAGGCAGGACAAGCTAGCTTCAGYTATATAGCATCTTGAATGCATTTCAAAAGTAATTATGTCAAAACACCCAAAGAACAGAACCTTCCCTTGCGCTCTTCCAGCTCCTTTAGGCTCTCAAATCTCCTACTGGATACTTTCCAAAGATTATTTCTCTTCCAAAAATTAGAATCTTCTGATAGAAGAGAAAAAAAACAACAAAATACAAATCCCCCAAACTAGGAGCTTAGTAAAACAGAAAAGTTATCATCAGAACATTTATAAAGTTGGACACATTTTCAAAATTTCTAGTAGGAGACAAGAGTGGTTTTCAAGTGAACAATACACAACAGGCCAAATTCTCCCTCCAAGTGTTACTTGCTCCATAGAGAGGGAGGGAAAGAAAGAAAAAAATCTAGATTACCAAATTGGATCAAGCTAAAAAGGCACATTTACGTAAAGACAATCAACCCATGAAAAAAGCACTTGAACTCATCAGTTAAACAACAGTAGACAACAACAACAGACTTGCTAAATAARGCTAAAATTGTTTTGGCATCTACTTAAGCCAAAGACTTTTTCTTCTCATCAACAATAAGAGCAAGGGTACTAAATGCCTCGGAGAATTAAACTTAATCACCAAGATTGCTGTTTTATCCAAAGGTGCAAGGGTTCCCCATCAAAGTCAATGACAGCTACACATACCCCGCAGCAGAACTTGTTCCTGAAATTATTTACACACCTAGTCTTGCCTGTGGCTTACACAGGCCTTTTTCCTCTGCTCAGACATACATTGCAATGAATGATAGGGAAGAAAGTGACAGTATTCACACAGATGACTATACTCATAATCCAGATTTTCTTCCATCCTTAGCATTAAAGCACATTGTAAAATGATTCAATAGCCTTTCAAGCAGTTGCAGTGAAAGTGGATTGTCTACTGCAATATATCCATTAGCTTCTATGGATTCTATTAGAGTAATTTGTTGGCTTTTGTCTCAATTCCTGCATGATTGGGAACCAACTTGAATGACATTGTTTTGCATCTTCTTAAAAACTATCAGAAATCTTAAAAAAAAAATTCTGATAGTCTAAGACTTAAATGAACCAGTGCTGAAAAACTAGCTTGAGCTTTCACATCCATTACTAGTTAACTCAGTACAGTACATTAAACAGTAGATTAATACTGAAATTAAGGAAGTAGATCAGGACTAGAGTTAGAAGGCACCTAGTTAGTTGCATGACTGCTCACTCAGCTAAGTTAGAGTTGATAAGAAAGCAATACTTTGCTAGATACCATTACATATTGTCTACCATTTATGACAAAGAAAGCTTTTCAATTTTCAAAAAAGAGAAAAAAAGAGAAAAAAAAAAGAATTGCTTTAAAAGCTACATATATGCACCATTTTTTGTTTATAAATGGCAGCCTTCCCCAACCTGAGTACCCCAAAATAGAAAAAAAATCAAGGTTATAGAAGAAAAAAAATATTTAGTGAACAAATCCTCTACTAATCATTAACATCCAAGTAGGTTTCAACACTAAGCAGCCTTTCATTCTTAGAAAAAATAAAAAGTAAAACTATGCCTGAAAGCCACATCCCTCRCTGGTGCTGGCACCACATTCAATAATGAGTTAGTAACTCACRCTCTCATTTCTAAGCCACTTCTAAGATTCTTAGTTACCATTTCACTATCAGCATATGAAAATTTACAGGTAGAAAAAGATGAGCTTCATGATTGATTCTGAAGCAAGAAATATACTGTGCTGCTCATTTTATTTCTACTCTTCAAAAAGTGAATTGTGTGCAGGCATCCTTGCCAGATGATTGCTACCATGGGTTCTCCAAAGCAAGGGTTGTAATCTCTACTGAAGTCTAATAGACTGAAGTCCACAGGCAGATGGAAGATTGACAAGAAAATGTAGTTCTCGGCTTTTTATGCCACACCAAACACTTAGGAGAAATATTATCCATTTCTTTGCACAGCCTCTGTTTTCATTTTGACATTACAGGCTTAAGCATAACAAACGCTTAAGCCTGAAAGTGTAATAGAGTGCCAGGTGTAGCTGCTTTAATTTAAGGATCTGTAAGTTATTTTTTTCAGACATAAGCAAGCCACAGATCTGGGAAACAAACAAAAAGCCCACAACTGCAGGAATTTCAAACCCATTTGCCTYGTTTCTGCTGAAGAATATTTGTAGAACTAAGGGTTTAGGAGTAGGTAGTTGAACACAGAGACACTGTAGCCAAAAGTTATGCTTACTAAATACAGAGGCAGTGAGGAAAAGACTGAGCAGTCTGATTCTGTTCTATTCACAAATCCAAGATTGCATGGAAACTATGCAGCACAAAGCACAGGACAAAGCCTGACATACCTCAAGAGTATTACAAGAGGAGAGGCTGCTTCAATCATTGTTTTCAAAGAAGTTTAGATCTTACATAGCTAACTTGCTCTATTTGCAATAGGTTGAGGTAGTGTTGCAGCTGGGGAGTTCACTATGGTAACTCTACTCCAGAGCTAGTTAATATAATGTATCCACATCACTAGCTTAGTCATGCAGGTCGTGTTATAAGGCAGCAGTGAAGGACAAGCATTTAGGGGACCACATACCTCAAAAGGGCACTTAAGAGAACTTTGGAAAAAAAGCTCCCATGAAGAAACATCTGAGTTATTCATCTGTCAGTGCTCTTGGAACTCTAATGGGCATTCTCCAGGCAAGCTTTTAATTTCCAGGTGATCAAAGTTTTTTTTTTTTTTTTTTTTAAATTATGCGAACACTTATTTTCTCCCAGCTTTCCCTCACTAGAAAAAGCAGTGTTTGCTGTTAATCCTATGATCCAGCTTTACTCAGCTTTACTGATCTGCAGTTGCTCCCATTAAAAGACCTTTTCCAAGGGAGAAATACACGATGTTCTACAAACAAGTACAATAGGTAAGCAATTTTAAGTTTTACAAACATACAAAAGAGATACATTACAATTAAGTCTTAATCCCAAATAGACTGACAACTGACCAATGCTCTGTGAAAATAAGTTTTAAAAAGTTAAAAAAAAAAAGCAAATAAGCATATAGTCAGTCTGAAAACACATAAACACTCGTATCTTGATTCATATTAAGTCCTCAACAGAATTGATTGAGTCAGGATTAAGGCTGAAACATACCCAGAGACTCTCCTAATAGCATTACCAACCACACATACAGAAAAAAATTGTTGTTTACTCAACATATTTTTAAGGAGTGCCCCATATGTTCTGTAGCCTCTCCCTCAAAAAAATGAATCCATTTGAAGTTAGTTTTAAAGCTGTAACGCGAGTATTTAATTCACTTTAAAGTGATATGCAAAGGATTCTTCTGACCAAGACTGCAGAGGCCATGCAACGTGTCAGCCCATGCAAGTACTGAAGCAGCTTAGTTGTATTGCATGAAAAAAAGAGCTGCATGCTAAGTATGTGTGCATGATTATATTTTCTTGATAAGTTTATATAACCTTTAAGAAATTCCTCTGCAAAATTTCTTGTATTCTTTCTGTGCAGTATCAATTCCTACAACCACATTCAGGAAAAATGCAGCTCCTCCTACTTGTTTCAGCACAAAGCATGCAGTGAATAATCAAGTTACAATTCCTTGTAATTTATAATCGAGTGTAGCCAGAAAGGTCACCCCCAATATAGAGATTTTTTTGAGGAAAACAAATGAAATCTGAGCATTAGGATCTGTAATTTTTTTCATATTTAATGATATTATTAAATATAAACAGTCACTATAAAGAAGAGAGCATTTTTAGTTTAATACAAAAGTATTCCATCTTCCTGTTTCCCCATCATCTCATGTGTGTGGCCAGTTAGCTGCTTTGCATTTAATGAGTTAGCTTCCAATTCCGCCCAGTGAGAGTACTTCATACATATGCTAAACTGAAGGAAAGAAGTGTTTAGGGAAAGGGAAAAGATCTGAAGGATCAGTAACACAAGAAAATTTTATGGTAGCAGAACATGTTAACCCTCTGGTGGATGTACAAGCAAGTTTGCTTCCCTCCTTGCCCAAGGAAAACCTGAACCCAGAAGCAACAGCCTCCCCACTCTCTTCAGCATTCAAAAAGGATTCTCAGTAATGTGCTGAAGACAGGCGAGCAGAAGCAACAGGCAGCAATGAAGGCAGTTCTTGAAATGGTTTAGCACTAATATTTTTATTCAGCAAAACAAGTTTACAGAAATCACTTTCAGAGATAAAAAAAGAATTTTGAGTAATGGTTGAAGTGTTTTCTCTGGGACATAATTAAGAAAAAATCCATCAGGAGCTTATTTTAAATCAAAGAATGAACAAGTCTGTCAAGTACGTATCCCAAGCTTCAAGTTTTCCTGCATATTTCATACCTCACCAATCTTGGTTTCTTCCAACAGGTAAGAMAGACAGGCCTAGCCTGTTTCAACAATAAGCACTTCCTCTAAGCAAGTTTCTGTTGCAAGAATCCACACTTCCTCTAAGCTCAGACTGAGCAACTATTCTGAGCATCTCTCATGCTAATATTATTTACTCTTGTCATAAAATGATTCAAAGAATGTGTGACAGACTTCACAATATCAGCAAGGCATTCTGGAAACAGTTTTACGAGCTTCAGAGTCAACAGTAACCTTCACCTGGAATAACTTTTACCAGAATGGCTCCCCCACCTTAATCTCTGTATTTTCTTCTCATAGTTTTCCTTAGCAGATTCCTGARATCTCATCTTTCATTTATTACCTACCTGGAAATAGAGGAAAGTTGTGAATAGGGGCAATATATTAGATCAGTCTTTATGACACATTCAGGAGTTCCCAGAAGATATCCATTCCTCAGTACACAACGCCTATGATCCAAGAATGAACCCAGAGAAGACTTTCTGCATCAGATTTGCAACCCTTATCTACGGGGAGCATTAATACAATGACAACCATTTTGGTTTAAAAAAATTAAAAAAGAAAAAAAAAAGAAAAAGAAAAAAAAATCACTCRTGAGGTCTCTAAACAAACCACTTGCCTTAGAGATCAATTCATCGTGATTGGCTAGGTGGGCTCTGCAGTGGATGCAGCTGTAGGTTCGGTGACAGTTCGGCAGGTAAGCYTGGAACGTTTTTGACTTTGTCATTTTTACCATCTCCGCTGCAGGYTCCTCACTCAGCTCAGGGCTGGCACTTGAAGAATTGCAACTTTGCTGAACACGCTGACAGAAGAAACACTGGAAAATGCAAGCAAAAGCCGTCGTTGTTCTGGAGTGTGTGTGGCACTTTCCACACGGACGACAGAAGAGAAACAGTCACAACCTGCAGGTGAACAGAGCAGAACRGTTAGCAGCTCTACAGCCAGGCCAGGATTAACTTGTTATTCAACTGTTTCAGATGCAAGCTGAAGTGTTATTTGGAGCACTTTTGGCTATAGTCATTCTGTTGCTGTGAAGTTGTTTCGTTCGAGTTGTTTCACACGAAAACAAACAGTTCTGTCCCCTTAGTAGGTTCAAGTCAGTCACGTTTCTAATGAAAGTTTGAAGCAATTCCCCTTGAAACAAGTAATCCACAAGGCAGCAGGTATGCTGCCTTAGCACACCTCCACACAAAGTATTATACATTTAAAATAAAAGCTTATCAGTTACTGCAGAAAGGCAGGACATTAGAGCATTACTTGTCCTGGAAATTCCAGCAGTCACTTCCAGCAGAAAGACTTTCTGACCAACAATAACCAGATATTTACACCTCATTTTCAGCACGACATCTTGCTATATCACATTTGTCTTTAAGTCCTCCCCTTCTTCCAAGCCCAGCAGAATTGCACCTCTAAGCACAAGCCTTTTAACCAGTGTCCTGAGCTAATCAGCTATTCACTCTATCAAAATAAGTCTTAATGATTGACTGTGATTTCAGCAGCAACAGAAGTTAAATCCTACCCACAGGATGCACAAATGCACTCTTAATCCTCAGAGCACCTTTAGGAGACACTGCACACATCAAGGAGAGCCCCCACACCTTCCAGCTATACTGGAAAGGCAACCCTTTCAAGCTGGCCTGCCTGAGAATTATAGATTTTCAGTCCTCGTACTAAATATCTACTGACCTGTTCAAGGCCACCAGTAACCATGCTACGTRCAGCAAGCTAATGAGCAACCCAAACATGAGGACTACCCGGTCACTCATGTCATCAGCTATCAGGTGACCAAGAGTAGGTCAATAGCACAAGCACTGAAATGAGAGCCAGTATAAAGAATTTACAGTGTCTCCATCCAGCTATTGAGGTAAGCTGGCAAAGCACTTATCACCGTTGTAAACTGTACACAACACTGCAATAAACTTTTCTAGCAATAGGGTACAAATAATATGGTGAATGGAATGAAAACCATTGAATTAAGAATTAGTCATTTCTAGGAACTGTCATTGTGCTTCAAAAGAAACCTTGAAAAAGTTGTGCGTTTGGCATGCCTAGCACAAACTTCAAAATGGGTTTTTGAATCTTCAGTTTGTGGTAAGAGCAGGGAAAGGTTGAAAATACTCAGAAAGTAAGTACTACAAGAATTTAATGACAACTATAAAGGCAGGGATGAGCCACGAAGCCATGTGGCAGAATAGGTGCAAGCAAGAAGTAAAGCAGCAAAGGGAAAAAACTGCCTCCCACAGCACAAATCTACAAGTAAAAAACGACAGAGCAAGTCAGGGAAGGGGAAAACAGATCTGATAACACTAATGTGCTTGAAATATTAACCCAGTTAACACGGGCAGCAGAACTTAATGATTAACAAAATCACATAAACATATATTATTTGAGTCAACAACAGAAGTATTACAGGGTACTATAACTGCAAGGGAACGGCGGTTGGGAAGTCAGCTTTCGTACAACAAAATATTCCTTTCTTCAAGGAGAGGGTGATTCCAAGTGGTTTTTACACATTGTAATGAACAGAACACACAGCCTGTTTATGTTAAAAGGCAAGCTTCAAAGCACGATACATTTTCTGCTTGCAGTTAGAGCAAGGATGAAGCCGGGTAAGCCCAAGTGCACTTCTGTCTGAAAAGCAGCAGCCGTTTCTGCAGTCCCCGCTCAGGRTTCGGTGCAAGGCAGGATATCTTGCAAGATCCGAGGCAGCTACTGATTATTTATACTCAGACAATAGCATAGTTTGTGCTTTAGTCATGGAAATCACAGCGAGCTCTCCTGAAGACCCAATTCTAAAGAAGCAGCATAATGAAGCGTAGGAACAAGCTGCTCTCTAGCCATTTTTAAACCAGTGCCCAGGCAGTTTGGGCTGACTTAAGGTTTATCCCTACCAGGCTAACAAACTAACTTCTGGAAGCAGTAACTGCATTCACTATACACTTGCAAAGCCATAAGATAAAAATAGGAAAGAAAAATAGAGCAATTTTCTTGCAATGGTTTTTAAAATGTTATTAACATTATATATTTAAAAAAAATTATAATAATATTAATAAAGTGTCAAGACAGCCGTGAAATGGACGGGCTCCAGGAGAAGCCGTTTGTTCAATGCCCTGACCGGGGGCCCCCCTGGTTAAACAGGGGGTTACGGGGCCGGTGGGACCGGGGGGGGGGGGGGTGTTAACGGGGCCCGGGGGCGCCGCTCGCTCCGCCGTGCCGGGGCCTGCGGGCCGGGGCGTGACGTCACGGGGCGTGCCGTCGTGGCGCAGCCAATGGCGCGGCGGGGGCGGGGCGCGGCCCCGGATGTGTAAACAAACAGCGCGGGAGCGTGGCGGGCCGCGCGGGCGGGCGCCCCCCCTCCCCGCCGCGGAGCCTCCGCGCGCCCCCGCGGAGCCGGCGCGGAGCGAGGCCGGAGACCGCTCCCCGCCGGGCACGGCCGCTTGGGCACCGCCGCTGCGACACGGCCGTGCCGGGCGGTGCGGCTGCCGGAGGGGAACAAAAGCAGGCGAGCCCGCCGCCAAAAACGCGGCCTCCCTCAAAATAAAGAATATATATATATATACATATATATATACACACATACACATTTATATATATTAAATCATTCAAGCAGTCTTCGCTGGGCTGCCAAAGGCCAGGCAAAGCCTTTATCTCGATACGCCACGATGCGACGACTTGAGGAAAGCCCTGACCAAGTTACCCCGGTTGCGAGCGGAGCAGCCTTTTTGGCAGCGCGGGTGCAGGGGCGGCACGGGACGAAGGGAGAGCGGCCGGCGGCGCCCCCGCTGCCCTCCGACCCGCGGGAGCAGCGCGGACCGGGAGCCCCGCGCGCGGCCGCCCGAAGCGCCGCTACGGCTCCCAGGTGCCCGGCCCCGCAGAGCCCGCCGCCGGGAAGCGGGAGCGGCGGAGCCCCGCGCTCCGCCGGGCTGAGCTCATCCTCGCCCCCCTTCCCTTATGTAAACGCGCACCGCCCGCCCTGGAACGAGGAGGCTCCGAGCAGGCAGCGCTGCCGTCATTTCCAGGCGCTATAAATAGAGCCCGGGCCCTCCTCCCGACGGCAAAGTTGCCTTCGCGCTACACCCCCCCCTTCCCACCCCCCTCCGCGCGCAGGAAACCGCGGACGGGGCGCGACGCGGGGCTGCCCCCCCTCCATAACCCCCACGGAAAAAAAAAATAAAAAAAAAAAAAAAGGAAAAAAAAGAGAGGGGGGAAAAAAAAAACAGACCCAAACAAAGCGGCGGCACCGGCTCCCTGCGCGCGCCGCGTACTCACCGCTGCGCTGGCTCCGTGCGCTGCCGCAGCCCCAGGCCCCGCTGCCTCAGGGAGCGAAGGAGGGAGAAAAGGAGGGGTGCAAAAAAAAAAAAATCCCAGGAAAACAGAAATAAAAGGAAGGCCGGCGCTCAGGGTGCCGGCGGCGCGGGGGGCACGGCGCTCGGGGAGGGCGCTAGCGGCACCCGCCGCTCATCCCCACGCCGGGCCGGCCCCGGCTGCGCGCGCGCTCGCATCCAACGCGGGGGGAGCGATCAAAACAAAGCGGGCAAGCGGCGGGTCCCTTTGCCCCAAACGGCCTCGCAGGCGGCTGCGCGGGTCACGCGCGGCGCCGGGACGCGCCGCCCTGCGGGCCAAGGGCCGGCCGGGACATGGTGCCGGTACCGGTGCCGCCGCCTTTGTTTTGTTTTCCTGGGGCTCGCTGGCTGCGGCGCCCGTTAAACCT